TAGCCGGCGTAAGCGGCGTAAGCAAAAACAACAAAGTCATGTCGTAAGCAAAGCTTGGAAAACGTAAGCTACCGTAAGCATTTTTGTTTCCGAAATGAAATAGGATTAGGGTTTTGGGCACTGCTCAGAGGATACAGACGTCCAACATCTAAAAGTCCATGACACCTTTAGACTCTGCAGTCTCGGGGGATGTTGCGCTGCTTGGATTCAGAGAATGGGATTGGCTTTTTTCCACTGGAGTTTTACTGTTAGCATGGGAGATTTGAGATTTTGTTTCTACGCTTTTGCTTTGTCTCGAACACTCGGGAAACTTGGCAGGCAAAGATATCTCTGCAGAGAGCTTGCCGCTGCCGACAACGTGCGATCGGAATGGCACCATCGTCCTGGAAGCTGGCATGACATACCACACGGAGGTGGGGTTGTGCTGTAGAAGCCTGAAGCACTCAAAACCCCGTGTGGCCGCCAGGCAACTGCAGAAGATATTCCCCCCTCCGTATGTATTAAGTGGCGAAATTGACTCCGACCCCGCGACCAATCTGAAGATCTTTCCAGGTGGGCAATCAAAGCATCGATGCGAGCTGCCACGAACGGCAAGGGGCCCTCGGTGCCCGCATCCTGTCCTTCGGAGGTGGCAGCTTTCGAAACTGAATGTTTTGACGAGTAATTTTACCTTGGTTTACATATCTCATACAAGCATTTTCTTGCCTTACAATTAGATTACATCGATATACCTGGACCCTGGATGTCCTCTGTTGTTTGGCATATGCCCTATAAATGTGTAGGTCAAAACCCCAAAAAGGAAGGACATCCAGGGTCCAGGTATGTTCAGGTGTGAAGTTCAAGAACGCGAACGAAGTCACAATCCGGGGGCCGCTCAGTGTGACGATGGCACCAGGCCTTCCGAGTCTCAGCACCCCAGCCCTGCGCAGTGCGGGCAAGTTGGGAGTAGTGTCGCCAGAGGGGACCACAATAGAGTTCAAGGACATTACAAGTTCGGGCATTGGAGCTGGAATTGCTGCGCAAGGTAATATCTCTTTGGAAGGGCCAGGCAGCATGCTGTTTCAGAACCTGCATACTGTCGTGGACGGTGCAGGAGCCTACAGCCCGCAGTGGGTCCACAGCACAGTCGCACATCTAGTGTTCAGAAATTGTTCGGCAGGAGTTGCAGGCGGTGCGATCCATGCCTTCAGAGGTGTGTACTTCAACAACAATGGCACAGTTGTATTTGATAGATGCACCTCGTTGTGGCGCGGGGGCGCAGTGGGAACCAGGGCCTCGGTGAAGCTGATGGGCATGGGCACGTTTGTGTTCCGACGCTGCAGCTCAGCTGGCAGTGTGCTCGGTGGCGGCGCAGTGAGTGCAATGGAAGACGTGGTGGTGCAGCTGTCGCCGGGAGGTTCTGCGTCATTTCAGCAGTGCAAAGCAACAAGCCCTGCCGCTGGCGGTTCTGGCGGTGCAATCTGGAGCCGTCGCAGCATCAATATTAGCAGTGGCTTTGTAGAGTTCAGTGGATGCTCCTCCACATCGGGACAAGGCCATGCAATGACTGCCGCCAACGGCGGTGTGCACATGGCATGGGAGACTCGCGTGAAGCTCGCGGACATGCAAGATTTTGGCGGCTGGCTGATACATGCTAGCTCTGTTATCGTTCCAACAGACAGCGATGTTCTTCCCCGAGATGTCTCTGCTGAAGCACTTTTGGCAACGAAGCCTGCAGGCCAGAGCAACAACCAGTGTCCGGCCGGTTCAAGGTTTCAGTTTGATGCAGACGGGTATCTGATTGAGGGTGTGTGCGAATGGTGCAGTGTTGGCCAGGCGTCTCTTGCCCTTACATCTGTGGAAGTCGAACACAAGGTCTTGGTGCCCCAGACTGGCATGCAGCTCGTACTTATGCGCGGCACTTCGCCAAATGTTTTCAAGTCGTTCAACGATTCAATCCGCGCAAAATATGGAAGGACAGAGAGTCAGACTTGCGCAGATGATTCGAGTTGTCTCGGCATAACAAAGGGCTCTGTGGGGATTTTCAATTTTCACGGGAAAATCGTGTCGGGCCATCGTCCCCAGTGGGGATATGACAACAAGCTGGCTTTCACTTTCACTGATGCAGGACGCTTGGAAGCTGATGACGGCGATTTTTTAGCTGTGCCAGCCGACTTGCTTGCAGCGGGGGTCCCGGTGTATCTCATTCGTGGGGCAGACAAGTTGTCCTGGCCCAAAAGCAGCCATAGTGACCTTTTCCTCATGGACAAGAATGGAATCATCAGTCCGCAGCTTGCGCCCAAACTGGCTTTCGGCATAGATCATGATGTCACCTACACCTTCCGGCCCCGGAACCCTCATGAAGCATGCCTTCCTTGCCACCAACTTGCCCCAGAGTTATTTGACAAGATCCAGTGCGACGGAGGCACGCAAGTTCAATCTGCTGCCGGCTATATGATCCTCCATACGCAAGGCAGTCGAAAGGTCCACGTCCACAAGTGCCCCAACAAGGCCGCTTGTCCCGGAAGCAAGCTAAGGCTCACGGCTGAGGGCCAGACGTCTTCTCGCAGCGTTTTGTGCGCAGAAGGCTACCAGCGCAGTCCAGGCTGTATACTTTGCAGCCCTGGGTATGGCCGTCCACCGCTGGACCCTTTCATTTGCCAGGCACCAATGAACCAAAAAAAACCAAGAAATCAGAGCTGCATGGGAGTCACTCATAGTTCACTGAAGGCACGCGTTCCTCCCCAGCCTCCTACCCTCAAGCATGTTCCCTGGAGGCGTGCGGCAGTGCATCTCACGTGCAGCAGATCAGTTTGGCCACGTTGGCCAGCGGCATCTTTTTCGCCATCGCATTAAACTCAGCTAGGCCACGCCGTGGAACCCAGCAGATCTTCAAGGTGCACACGTCAGTGCTCCCTTCACATCGCAACACACTGTGTGAAATCCTTGCATCCGTTATTCCCCTGATATCAAAGGGCTCCCCCCAATGTAAATACTCCGAACCGCGTTTAATAGATATTAGGGGGTCATTTATCGCACGACTCGAACATTAGGGGGTGCATGTAATAGGATCCCATTGAAATCTTATTAAGTCGTATGAAATTTGATCAAATCTAATAAAGGACTATTTCGAATTAGCCCCTTATAAGGGACAATTTCAGATCAGGGCCTTATAAGGGCCTATTTCAAATTAAGGCCTTATCAGGGGCTATATCAAATTAGGGCCTTATAAGGGACAATTTCAAATTAGGGCCTTGTTAGGGGCAATTTCAAATTAGGCGTGAATTCGGGATTATTTCAAATCAGGGCCTTATCAGAGACTTTTCCAAATTAAGGCCGTATTAGGGACCATTTTCAAATTCGGGCTTTATTAGGGGATATTTCAAATTTCGGCTGATTGAAGACTATTCCAAATTAGGGCCTTATTGGGCTCTATTCCAAATTAGGGCCTCATTCGGGACCATTTCAAACTAGGGCCTAATTAGGGACTATTTCAAAGTCAGTGCCGTTTAGCAACAATTTTCAATTAGGGCCTTATTAGGGCCTATATCAAATTACGCCCTTATTCGGGACTATTTCAGAACTGGCCTCATCCGGGACTAATTCAACATGGAGCCTTATTCAGGACTATTTCAAAATTAGGGGCTTATTAGGGACAATTTCAAATTAAGGCCTTATTAGGGACTATTTCAAATTAGGGTCTTATTACGGGCAATTTCAAATGAGGGTCTAATTGGGGACTATGACATAGGGACTGTTCCAAATTAGGGCCTGGGAATCGTTTTTTTTGAATTATTCTATATAAGCTGCCTTTATAAAAACCATTCAAAACAAACAAAACCGTAGCATATTTCAGAATTTAGAATTCTGGCGAACCCGTATTCAATATTGGTGGGGGTGTAATAGTCGGGGGAAGCGATTACTTCCAGCCCGAAACCCCAGAAGCCCACACCCAGCCCGAGCCTTCATTGCCTTGAGGTGTTCCTTGCGTTCTTAACGATCTCCTGCCGCAGCCTCTCCGCTGTACCGTACACATTGCAATTCCAGCGGCTGAAGCAACCCTGACTGCAATTGGAGTCCTAAACCCTAAACCCTAAACCCTAAACCTTTACTCATCAGCCTCAGAGCCGGCTGTCCAGCTCAGGGGAGATCTCCTGGCTTCTGCAAAGATGCTTTCTGAGTGGATCTTCGCCTTGGAGGTGGTGATCAACGCTGAGCCTGGGCTTTTCGGCTGTTATCTTAAGCAGACATAGTGTGGAGCATGTGCAGGTGTACAAATCACGGTGTAGAACAGATGTGGGCAACAAATGCATGCAAAGCCTTACAGACAGCATCTTGCTGTTAGTACTGTTTAGGTCAAGGCTGGGGCCTTGCCACTTGCTGTGTATTTGGGCGGGGCGTACATGCTGACTCAAACTGCGGCCAAAACACGGGCACTGTTTGTTTATCATACGTAGTCATTGGCGTACGCAAGGGCTGAGCTGAACTCAAAACTCACAGCTCGGTTTTGGGACTTTTTAGATTCTGGAAGCTGAGCCAAAGCACTGCAAAGGCATCCCACCACACAGTATTTCTGCTAGACAGACCCTATTCTAGGAAACCCAAGAGAGCATCCACGGCATATGCAAGGCCTTGCTTTCCATATCGTGGTCCAAATCAAAATTACAGATCAAGCTAGAGATCCAAACAAAGTGATAGACATCATCAGCTAGGTCCTCCGGCGCCAACTCCTTCGATTGCTGGGGTGTCGCCAAGGGCCCCGTGGATGTGATCTCAAGCCTCGGACTCTCCTGGTCCATTCCATCCGTCCTTCTACTGATGCTCGGCCGAGAGAAGTGTAAATCTCGGTTTGTTCATAAGGCGCTTTGCAGGGTGTCCAGGATCTATATGAGAGGATCTCTTAGAGCTCCAAACTGATATGTTTCTGATTGAGTACCGTCTACAAGCTGTACGCCGCATGCCACAGCTTTCGGATTTGGCAAACATTCGAGGCTTTCATTGTGCTGCCTCGGGCCGCGATCTTGGCTGCACTGCCTGGTCGTTTCTTGGCCTACAATAAGTAATCCCCTGCCCCAAACAATGGATGCTCCGAATATTCGCGTTCATCTGTAGGTGAGGGGGAGTTTGACGGGGGAAGAATCTAATCCTGTAGCATGGCCCGTGTCCACTACCCTTAAGCTCCAGGAAGTTTTCCGCTGCACCGGACCCCAAACCCCAAACCCTAAAACCTAAGCCAGGAAAAGAGGGGCTGCCACCAAAAAAGGCATAAGCCGTGACCCAAGGTTTGGGGGAATGTTTTCATCCCGGCCCTCATGGGGGCTGCAGCCAGACTGATGCCATGTTTCTCCACGCAGGAGCTGGGCAAACCTCACCCAACCTCGCCCTAAATGGATGTGGCTTACATAGGGAAAAATACCTAACTGGCCCTGGTTTAGGATGCGAAATCATTTTCAGTTACCTCCAGGAGCACCGAGAGCGCATTCTCATGTATAACGCTGCCTACGAAACTCAGTGTGCTTCCACCCTTCAGGACTTCTGGCATGCATAGTAGGCCGGTACTAGCATAGGAAAAGAGAGATGCTGGGCATAGACTTTTGGAGGAGATGCTGGGGCTCCAGCGCTTTCGGCTAGCAGTGGGGACTGCGTCCTTTCTCATTCTCATTGGCCCAATCCTGTGGCTGTGGCTTGCAGCACGCGACCCCGCGCTGGGAAAGACACCCGAGCGACAGCAGACTGTTGGCTTCTTGGTCACCGGCTACAAGCCTTGGCTACGCTGGTGGGAAGTGACAGTGCTGGCCAGAAAGTCTGCCATTTTCATCGTGGCAACGTGGTTCCCCATGTCATTTGCGCCTGGAGCACATCTTGCCTATTTGTTGCTCATCGTGGTGGTTGCGGAGCTCGTTCACAGTACCGTGCGGCCATACAGCAGCCCGTTTCTAAACCGTCTTGAGGGTCAAGCACTTGGGATCTCATCAGTATGTGTGGTGCTGGTGATTTCGTTGCTGGTGGAGTGGCCATTCAAGCCGTATGCTATCTATGTTGGCAGCTGCGCCATCTTGTTCCTACTTACGGCCGGTGTGTACTCGTATTTCTTTTACCTCTACATTTGCGCTCTACTCGTGAAGGAAGATGCGGAGGTGCAGAGGGACACTGAAGATTCTGAAGACTAAGCATCAAGAGGAAATTACGTCTCACCAGGAGCAAGTGCGGCCTTGCATGTTTGATGTCCTGCTACGTCCCAAATGTACAGTCGAGACAGCTTGGGCTGTTGTTTTGGAGTGGGCGCAGTAGAACGATTGGTTGACGCATTCATTTGCCCGTCCGAATTGGCGATACACAAGATCTTCGTACGTGCCCCACACTTCCAATATTGCATCCCAAAGTCCTCCAGTTGAAGCCTTACATGGCATAGACTACAGAAACTGAAGGCTTGTTGGCTCTAAGTTCGGTTAGTCAGTCCTCCTTACAGTAACTGTTGCCACAATGTGAACCTAGGTCTAGGGAATGAGCCAAGGGCTACCTAAACCCCAAAAGTATGCAAGTTAATGGCCCCAAACCCACAATAACAGCCATAAAGGTTTTACATACTTTTGGGGTTTAGGTAAAGACAAGGACATTCCTTGTTACGAGGAGGTACGTACAGGCAGACCGACATTGATTCGAGCAGCCTGAATGCCTGAAACCTAAGGGTTTAGGGTTTAGGGTTTAGGCTCCCATCCCGAAGCCCCAAGTTCCAACATGCTTTTAAGGTTTAGGATTTAGGTTTTAAGGTGTAGGGTCCCTAAATCCTTCTGAGCAGAAGTCCCTGATCCCGAAACCCGAAAGTATAATCCTCGATTCAGAATTCCTACTCACCCCTCAAGGCTCTGCTTTCCTGCTAACGACTCGGGTAGCTCCTCAGGACCCCAAAAGTAGTTAGGGTTTAGGGTTTAGGGGTTTAGGGTTTAGGGATTTAGGGTTTAGGGATTTAGGGATTTAGGGTTTACCTGGACCCCAGAAGTATGTAGAATAATGGCCTTTTGGGTCGGGTCTAGGTAGGGTTTAGTTCCAAACCTGCGGGGGAAGACAGAGCCTCTGAGAAATCGTAGGTTCCCTGCATCCAAACCTTCAACTCTAAGTGTTAAGCCTTAAACCTAAACCTTGCAGGTTTTGGGGTGTTTTAGGGTTTGTAGGGCTTAGGATTTGAACCCTAGGGCTTAGGATTTGAACCCTAGGGTTTAGGGTTTTAACCCTAAACCCTAGACCTTATATCCCAAACCCTAAACCCCGAATTCCTAAGCCCTAAACCCTATAAATCCTAAACCCCAAACCCTAAACCCCAAATAAAGTTTGGAGGAGTCCTTCCGCCCCCAAGGAAAGCACGCCAGAGCTTGAAGCGGGTGGAATCCCGGGGCCCGCCGCACCTGCCCTGCCCTTCCTGCGTGGATGTGGACAAACAGAACTTTCAGGCTACGAGGTTTAGGGTTTAGGGTTCAGGGTTTAGGGTTTAGGGTTCGGGGTTAAGGGTGTAGGGTTTAGGATTCAGGGTTTAGGGTTGGTTTCGGGCTTGGGATTTAGGGTTTAGGGGTTTAGGGTTAAGGGTTTAGGATTTTGGGTTTAGGGTTTAGAGTTCAGGGTTAAAGGTTTAGGGTTTAGGATCTAGGGTTTAGGGTTCCGGGGTTTATGAGTATAGGATTTAGAGTGTAGGGCTTTGGGTGTAAGATTTAGGGTTCAGGGTTACGAAGGGACACTAGACTGGGTTAACGGAACAAAACTGGAAACTACCAGACCACGGACAATCGAGTGGAAAGCACTTTCCGTATTGCGGAGAATCGGTTGGAAAGGAAATGGAACTCTAAGCCCTCCACCGCACTGGACTTATGGAGCCAAGCAGTGGTGTTTAGGGTTCAGGGTTTATCATGGTATGTCTGAGACTGATTTAGGATTTCGGGCTTTAAGGGGAGTATGAGTATGGATAGACAACACAGCAGAAACTGGGTTTAGGTAGGGACCCCCAAAACAGTATGACTAGTGCCCCTTGTGATTAACAGACCTGCCAAGCAGGCAGGTGTTGGGATTGGGGTTCAGGGTTCGGGATTTAGGCTTCAGTATTTAGGGGTTATTTGGCTTTTTGGAAGTACCTAAACCTCAAAAGCATATAAAATAATAGACCTAAACCCATAGTAACAGCCATAAAGGCCATTATTTTACATATTCTTGGGGTTCAGGTAGGATTTTAGGGTTTAGGTATTCAAGGGATTAGGGTTTGCGGCTCAAGATGGGCTTTGCGCTTAATTGTTGATCCCCATTAGCGTGGGGAGCCTTATTCGTGGGAAGCTTTGCCAAATTTGTTCCGCATACCCTGTTTCGGTTGGGGGCCCTTAATTGTGCGAAGTTTCGTGGCCGGAAAACTATTCTTGAGAAGAATTTAAATCAAGATCCTGCTGAAACCCTTCTGAGCTTAGACTTGAGCCGATCCCGATCCCTCCTATTGAACTTTATGCATTTAAAGCTAAAAATCCAAATTTGTTTGGGGGTGGGCCGGAGCGACCCTACTCGCGAACCCACATTAATTTGGATTAGGGCTTGAGTATGCCAGTTCAGGGTTTGGAATCACAGTGGTTTATGCGATATCGGTACATGGAGCCTCTGCTTCAGATGCTAGTTCCCAAATCGAGAGTTAGGCTTGGGTCGTCATTTCCAGGCTGTTTGGATTTAGGTGATTCTTCGACGGATCATGCGTCTTTCCTGGCGTGACGTTCTGTTTGCCTCGAAGCCATGATCTTGATCCGTACTGTGGACCCACCCAAACTCCCTTACCTAAACCCGAAGAGCGAGTAAAACAATAGCCCCACACCCAAAAATGTACCAAAAGGCCATTATTCTGCATACTTTGGGGTTCAGGTAGCCTTCAGAGCATAGACTTGGAGCCCAAGATCCTACAGAGTAGGGTGCAAAGTTTACGGTGAGTTTGCTTTATTTAGGGTTTAGGGCGGGCTTCCTAACCTTAAGGATCCAAAGAACCCCATGTAGGTCCTACTTATTGGTCAAGTATACTATACCTTATATGAACCATCCCCTTAATA